TTTCCATAGAACACTTAAGGACAAACTCCATGATAGCATATCCTCTAACTAAAGGACTTCCGCCCAAGGTCTTTCATGAGCATGTTGCTCACATGGGTGTTTTACAGTTTGATGAATTTGTGGTTTAGTGGGAGTTAGTCATTTTCATATATTTTATGTTCTATGTTTAATTTTATATATGTATACATTGTTTTTTGGACATATTTGGTTATCTATAGATATGCGGTTTTCTTGTTCATTCATTACACTTTGTACATTAAGGTTATTGTATCGATCTCGATAAGTTAAAGTTTGGACCAGTTGAAAATAGACGTGTACAGATCACCTTCACGTAATTTTTCATGCTACACATTTCATGATGAATCCATGTCATTTGGTTATGTTAGGATGAGTAATCTTGTTGGTTTTAGTTGCGATGATGCAATGAAAAACTGGTTTGGTTCTATATCCTGATATGATTAATGGACAGGACTTTTGGAATATGCTAAAAGAATATAATGACAATTTTGAGCTCATAAAGTCTAACACATTTGTAAGGTTGTAAAGACATATATATTTGTGACCAGTGGGAGATTGTTGGCAAATTTTGGGTCATGTATATATATGATACATATTTAAATGTGTTAGGGTCATTATTTATTAAGCCAAATAATAAAGTGATCTAACTAAATTAAAGTTTTGGCTAAAAGCATATGTCATGAAAATAAAATTGTGTAGAGACCATAGCGCAATTTCTAATTTGATGAGGGGCCAAATTGGAAATACTAAAACTTAAGTAATTAACCTAATTCTGGTTATCTAAAGGGTCATGGTCCCCTTCTGAGAGCACACACACAGAACGTAAGTATCAGTCCCGTTCCTTTCTTTCTATCCCCATCAAGAGAGAAAATCAAGAGGGAAATATAGGTGCTCTTCAGGTGGAAGACCATAAGATCAATATAGTGCTCTACAAAGACATCATCGTTATGGCTAATTCAGGTACGCTTTCGCATTCAGTTTACAACATGTTTATCAATATGGGATTATGTTTATGTTTGATTGTTAGAATCAAAATCAGGATTATTATTATTATTATTATTGTTTTTCCAACACACAGTGCATAAAAGGATTTACAACAATATCATTCATAACAATGACTAAGTCCACTATGAAACCCCTGCATCTACGAGCTTAGCGTGCAATCCCTCCCATGTGGTTCGTGGCACGTTCAATTTCCCAAAAATTTTCTAACAAGTCATATAATTTTATTGGGATTACTTATTATTTGGTAGCATATGGTTATACCTGGAAAAAAAAATACACAATCATTGTTTCAACCTTCAAGAAACTAATTGTTAAAATATATTATTCAATCTAATACTTGAATCATGTAATTCCAAACTTCAAACTCAGCTTCAAATCATCTAGTGGCTTCATTCCAAGAAAAACCATTGAAGTCACTAAACAAATCATATACCTCTCATTAACCATCTTTAAGGCTTTTCTTTCTATTTTTTACGTTGTTCCTATTTAAGCAATAGTTATTTGTCATAACACGTCCAAAGTATTAGTATATGTTTGACTTGTCCAACTTTCATCTATCTTATTCCCATCTTGAGTCTCATCAACCATGATTGTTAGCAGTTAAAGATTCATATTTTTAGTTCACTTCGTAAATTCATACATCCATTGGTTACGATCAACTTGTCATTTCCCCTATTCATTGTCAGCATGTAAATAACTAATTTCCACTACCTTACGTCAATGTTAACATAGTCATCTAATTAGAGTTAAGATTGCATGCATTTTTTTATGACACAAATCTTAAAATATAGGTCAATAAAAAAGTTATTGTCTACTTTATCATTGATAATCAGTCCATGTTTGCTATCATATTTGTCAAGTGTGTCAATTCCTAATAATCATCCTCATGAACTTGTATTGCAGACCTATCATCTTATCGCTCTAACAACTCTCAGTCCACTTTCTCTACAAAATATTTATCATTATCTATTTCACGTAGAAAGTTGTGTAATGAACACATTTTATCAATAATTTATTAATATAATTTATATATATTTAGTGTATTTTCTTTATTAATTATTAGTAGTTAATATAGTTTTTGTAAAAAGGAAATAAATATATCTTAATATAAATTATTGCTTAAATATTATATTTTAACTAATTATTTGTTTTTTTTTTTGCACGAATGATAAATTAAAGAAAATATAAAAGCTTAAACGATGGAATCTGCTGAGCGCTTTTGAATATGCTCAACGGAATCAATCCAAAGCACTCCTCTTCAAAAAATTAGCAATTCACTCAGTGTTTCACGTAGAAAGTTGTGAAAAATGCAACATGTCAATACCATATTTTTGGATACTTCAAATCAATGGTGAGGGTTTCATACCACTTGCTATAATAGGAAAATATGTTTTCAAGACATTAAATGTTCTCTTAATTACATTTCTCAATGAAGAATTATGATGATTAAACAATTCTTAAGGATTTTGAGGACCTCTTTGTGAATACTCTTTCAAGTGGTACCTAACTACCTACTATGGAGTAATAATTTGAGCTTATAACATGAACCATGTATCTCCCAAGTAATATTTGCCTATAAAAAATGACAGCACTTAGAAATTGCAATTAAGTTTTCATGTGAAATAATAAATGTTTAATCTCGTTAATTATTCATAGCTTCAGATATTTCTCTTCTTTGTTAGGACATCTTTAAAATCCTAGAATCTTTCGATCATGTTAGGATAATATTTGAATTTCATGTTGAAATCACAAGTTACAAAAATATTTTGAATTGACTAATCTTTTCTACCATAAAAATTAGGGACATTTGTTCATTGCACATTAACTCAAACATGAATTATATCAATCACCCTAAGACAATCCTTAAAATATGGTAAAATCTATGATTGTTACAAATATGTGGTTGCACTGCCCTTTCCGAGAGGTGAACAAAAGATTTTTATTCTAATTCAATAAAGACACTTAACATGTTATGAAAATATCGACTCACAATCTCACTAAATTGATGAAAGAAAAATGACAATTTGATTTTTTACATTATTCTTTGATATGGTGTAAAATTTTAACAATCTATTCTTCTATTATCGACTTATGCACGTCTTTTACCATATTAGCTATTTTTAATCATTAATACAATTATACGAAGGTTTCAGGTCTCATGTAATTAATGTTTTGATACTACTCTAAATTTACAAGATATATCATAAACTCATATAGATGATGATGATCTTAAGACCTAAGAAGTTAACAAACTCATATAGATGATGATGATCTTAAGACCTAAGAAGTTAACGTTAGCTATGCTAGACTTCATATGCAACATATACAATATATGAGAAATACTATATAGTATGGTTAGTGCCTTAACTTTCTCAGGTTGTATATGCTTATGACCTTGACATATTATATTCATATTTATGTCCACAATATTAATATTTATTTCTTGTTTGTATTCTAATTTCATATAATCTTTGTTTTCATTTTGTATGATTGATCAACAATTTGTTTATTGATAGAAAATTTTGACTTTAATTATTTATACCATATTATGGATAATGATAATTTTTATTAGATACTCAACATTAATTAAATTTATTTCTTAAATAAATAATTAAACCTTATATTAAAACTAATTTAATTAAGTAATATATATAAAAAAGTTTAAAGATACTAATTAAAACGAAATGTATTTATTGTAATTTTAATTTTTTGACATTATAAAAAATTTATTTAAAATAATTTTCATAATTCATTCTAAAAAAATTACAACTATTGCTAAATATTTTGTTATAATATTTTTACAAAAGTTAAGTAATTATTTATAATTATTTACTTAAAATTTAATCATTTATCTGCTATCCCTAATTATTTACAAAGAAACAATTCTTTGGTTTTTACAATTATTTATTGATCCAGTAATTCTTAAACTTAGTTACCTAAAACTATTTTTCTAATTTTAATAATTATTTACTTATAATTTAATAAGTTAACTACTAATTTTAAACATTTACCTAAAAAAATCTTATGAATCTTTCCTAAATATTTTTTTTCAATTATTTCTATTTCTAAAAAAATTATAATTATTTATATAAAAATAGTTACCTATTTTTTATAATTATTTAATTGTAAAAAATATTTTTACAATTATAATTCATGAAATCCATAATTGTAATTATTTATAATTAATAATAACTACTAATATGACAACAAAAATTTGTAAAAATTTTGTAACATTATTTACCAAAATAGTAATTTTACAATTATTCCTACTTTCATAATCCTTATCATATAATTATTTCAAAGAAAGAAATTTTAATAATAACATGTTTTTTCGTATGTAATTTTGAAAACAAAATATTCAAATAAACACATAATTGATAATATAAAGGAATCTAATATAAATATATAACCGATTATGTGCGCTTTCATATTCGAATGAATTTACAGTTTTGAAGGAAAATATTATCTTTATAGTTTAGTAATACAATTCAGTAATTGATATAACACATTCAATAAATATTTAATTATACTAATTAAATTAATTTTGACATTATAAAAAATTAAAATACAAGTAAAATTTACTAATATTTTCTTTAAAATGATACGAATAAAAAATCTTATTTAAAATAAATAAAATATAAAAATTTCTGCAGAGGCAATATATTATGATGTAAGGATAGTAAATATCAGCCATTAACTATTTTATAAACACACGTAGACCCTAATTCCTAAATTTAAAAATATAAGCTAATAATTATAGTATTTAGTTGCTAACGTGAAATGAAACGTGAACCAAAAATACCAGTAATGGCTGTAAAACGTGTGGCAATACACGGAGATGAAGAAAGCATTAACAGCTTCCAATCCATATATCGTCCTCTTCAATTCGACATAACAGGAAAGTGTATAAATATGATGTTTAATGTTACAGAAAAGTACATGCGAAAATAGCAAAACCATCACCTCTCCCCCTTACAATGGCTGTTGTTCCCTCCGGTGGTGGAAAAACCATTTTGATGATGTTGTGTTTTCTGTCGGTTTTTGCAGGGTCAGCCTCGAGTTCGATGTGGGCTGAATTGCTTCATCCGACACTAAAAGTGAACATAACGTCGAAAATACCCGGTGGGGTTGTTCACATAAAATGCATATCCAGCGAGAACGACGTGAAGAGGGGGTCTTTGGATTCCTCCTCCACAAAGCCATTCACGTTCGACGTTAGACTAAAGTTTCTGACAACCATAAGATACAATTGTTTGCTGACACAAGGAGGAAGAGAAATTGGACAGTTTTTAGGGTTTCGAAGTGGTTCGTATTGCGAAAAAGGCTGCAATTGGGAGCTTTACCTTCATTATGCCCTTCGCATGTCTTCGCGCGATGGTTTTGTAAACCAAACCTACAGACCAATTGGAAGCCCTGATGACACCACTTATGATTTCTCTTGATCATTCAATGTGCCTCCCACTTTAACTTTCTTCTGCTTCATTTCGATCAACTTTTTCCAAAACATTTCAAAACTCAAAATTTTTAAAAATAAAAAACAATTTCTTTTTTGAGTTGAAATTATTTTTTATTATCTTATTTATTGTTTTTTTTTTATATATTTTAGAAAGTTTACGAAAAAGTTTGTTGAAATAAGAAAGGGGGAGATTAGGGATAAACCAATATTAGCTCCTGCATATGTATGCTGTTGCAGCTAGTTTCGTATGAATTTTAAGGTTATGCTATTTTATTTTTTTAAAAGTTAGATATGATATTGTTGGTTTGAACCCTGGTCCAGATTTTGAACTATTTGGGGTTTCTTACATGAAAAAGAAAATGTTATATCTACCTATTTGTTACTGACTGATTTAATAAATATTTTAAAAAATGAGTTAACGTTGATGCGAAATCCAAAGGACTAGAAGACAAAGTGGCAGAGTACGACAGAGTGGGAACTTTACATTAAAATTCATGCCTCTTTCTCGTATCGATTTCTCTGCCTTTTCAATCTCTTCCTCTGGTCTCTCTCACAAACACCAAAATTCCAGAATACGAGAACCCTTGTTCTCTTCTTTGCCCTGCAGATACCAACAACATATAAATCAAAAAATCACTAAAATGGAACAAAAAGTTCATAATTTTTCACCTCTTCCAATTCACCAAATCAAACTTTTTCTCCTCTGTTTGCCTTTTCAGCGATGCGTACAAAAAAGTTTTGGTAGGAGGAGACAAAAACGTAATTATGAACTTCACAAGGACCAAACTCCACCTCACCTTCATCATCTTCAAACCAATTACTTCAATTTTTACCTATCAAACATAAATTTGAGATTCTGAATGAAAAACCAAACACGCTCAGATGATTTCCGACACAATATCAAGAAAATTGTGCGTTGTGTTTTTACTAATTTGAATTTAAATACATCTATTTTCTTCTACAAATTAAATTTTAAACAATGAGACTTTTAGTCTTTGAAACTAAACAACCAAAATGGTAATATAGCCTCTAAAATGAACACGTCTCACATATTATCACTTTTCCTTATATTGTTATTAGTTGCACAGATTAAAACGTATTTTAATACGAGGGACTAAAATAATTTTTTAACTTAAATACTATTATTTTAAATTTATTATAAGAATAATTATTAACCTCCAAAGTGGAGTTTTTTTATAAAAATCAATATTATCATTAATATTAATAATTTGTTTAACTGTTATTTCTTCTCCTTATATTAGGTAAAGTCTCTTATTTTTAGTATAAGAAATGGACCTTGTTGTACTTGTTTCATCGTAATACCAATTAATGAGAGTGTTTTGCTTTTATTTTTAATGGTTTAGTGCATACTTCTATCCGTACCGCTATTAGTTGAATATTTATTTTTAAAAAATTGTGAATTTTTTTTTATTCTTGTACATATCTATGAATATATTTTATTTTATTTTTAAAATATATTTTAATAAAAAATTTATTTAAAATATAATTTAAATAAAAGTAAAGTATAAAATATTAATATAAATAAATTTAGTCTTCATAAAATATTAGTTTAAATAAGTTATAATATAAATTTAAATAATATTATTTTTTTAAAATAAATTTAATTTCATAAAGTTAGATAAAAAGTATAAATCTATAAAGTTAAATTCTAAATAATTTTTTAATAATAATTAATATTTTTCAAAAATATTAAATAAAAATTATTAATAAATAACATATATCTAGGTATGTATATAATAATTAACAAATAAATAATTAAAGTACTCATATTCATTGTTTATGGATCTATTTCATATATCCATTTAAAACAGGTGAAGGTTACACCATCAACAATTATCATAAAAATATAAGATTTTTTTCCTCTCTTCTATATACTATTATTTAATTATACTTCTCGCTGAGTAACCATTTATTGATATATGTTTAGTTTAATTTTTTAAAAAAATTGACTTATAAATTAAAATTTATCATTGGTACGAGATTTCAACCCAAGTTTGTAAAGGTTTCACAATATTTATTTATTTCTCTATACAAAAAGTGAAAAAGATGGTATACGTAGTGTTTCTTGAAACCAATAAATTTTTGAAGCGTTGGAAAAGTGAATTTTAACTTATCTTCTGCCTCGTCTCTACCTTTTAAACCAGATAAAGGACATGAATTCAAAATGTTGTTTCTTTCAGACCATGTTGTCGCAAGTGGCAGAGAAGTTAATGGAGTATTGTATTGATGAGTATGGGCAAATGAACATTGCCTATTCGATACGTGAAAGCCAACGGGTGAAATATTCGGATATCAACACGTCCATGTCATAACATGTGGAAAAGTTTTAATACGTAAGTACTACGTACATTAAGTAATATCACATCAACTACATTAACATGATATCTTTCTCTTTGTTTTTTAAAATAACAATGCAAGTGATATGAACAAACAACAGAGATGAAAGAGTTTCCAAATTCAACAAAAAGTGTTCATCGCCCAGATTGCAATGCAGACTGCGTGCACTGAAAAGGAAGATTATCTTTTACCACTTTTGATCTGCCAACAGACTCTTGTCATTGACAGAGAGGGAAGCATAGTACTGTCAATATGATTTTCTGGATTTTCTCAAGGAAGAAAAAATAATTAGTTGGATACTGTTATGGCTAGGTACGGATGAAAAGACATGAATCCCTGTTTTTCTTGCTACATACATCTGCCACTGTTTTGCAGCTTCCCCCATCTCAGAAAAAGAAAAAAATTATGAAACGAAAAAGATTAAAGGATCCAGGGAAACACAATGGTCTACGCTTCTTCAATCCTCACCAAAAAGATTCACTCCAACATCCAACTTCTCTCAGCTGCTTCTATGCAACACTATTATACATAATCTTGGGAGGATCACAGCATCCCTTTTAACACAAAGCAGAAGAAATCCTTCTGTATAGATTATATTATTACCAAAATATCCCCGGTTTCCCCTCATTGTTCAACAACCATACTAGAAAATGATGAGAAAAACGAAGGTATTTTGGTTTATGAGTTCAAACAAAACAATATATAACAAAAAGTACATAAAACACATAGAAAGACGATTATTTAAAGAAGAACAAAAATATGGAAATGAGAATTCTACTCGTTAATTGTGGAGAGGATCCGGGCAACTGGGCACTCTTCGCTTGTCTTCACCAAATCCCTTTTGGGTTGCATTGCTTATAAGGCCAAAAGTGCTTCCACTGAAGTGCTTATGCGACGGATCCTCCTTGACCTTCTCATCCTTTTCACTGACATGGCTGAATTTCAGTTTGGCCATTGCATTAGATGGGAACACACGAATGGCTCCAACTTGGCATGAGTGCCAACACACCCACATTTGCAACACAGTGATACCCAAAAGCACCAGTAAAGAGGGGTGAAGGAGTCTCTTGCCACCAGCACGAAACATGGTTGGATATTAAGCCACATAAAATTTGAACCTTTTTATTTTCCTTGATCCACCCATTCCCAAAACTTCACTCCCACAAGCTTGTTCTAGTTGTTGCCCCAAGGAAGAGTGGCTCCACTTGTGAAGGACGTTGAAAAGGAAACTTGAGTTTGATTGAGTACGTTAACAAAGTGATATTTCTTGTGAACAGGAATTGTTTAGGGTGGTAGTTATTTGCTATTCATCCTATTCAAACAAATTTGTTCTATTATACATTATTTTATTTATGAATAATATTTCTTAAATTTTAAAAACGATTATGTAAAGAAATTATAAAATATAAACTCAAATAAAAAAATATTTTCCAAAAATAAATTTAAATAAAATTTGTCATAATACATAAATTTAAATGAAATTATTTTTAAAAAATAATTTTAATTGCATACATTTTAATAAAAGAAACAAAACTATATAATCAAATTCCAAAAAATTTAACTTCTTATTAATAAAATTTATTTGGTCACTTAATTTTTAAAAAAATCTAAATAAAAATCACTAATAATTATATAGATATATTATTGATAAATTATAATTAAATTTAAAAAAGAAGTTGATAAATATAATTATTTATAGCGAAATAAAATAATATTTTTACTCGTCCTATTAACTACTAAATAATAAAAATAATCATACTCGTGATTAAACATAGTATTTGATAGAGAGTTGTTTGATAATTAGAATATCATAGTATGGTTTTCTTATTCTATTTTACTTACTTTTATCGAAAGATAATCCATAGACTTTCTAATCCTAGAAAATAAGATGGTAGATCTTTCTTTCATTAAGATATCACTTTCCCTTACCACTATCATAATTATTATTTGCAATAATTGTAGTTATGACTTTAATTGTATCTGTTACTGCCATTTATACATCTCTATTAGCATTGTCATCATCATCTCACCACACTTGTACCAATCATCATCACTTCCATAAAAAAAAATTTCTTCAAAATTTATTACCACTTTAATCAATTGCATCATTATTGTTACACGTCATCATGATTATATCATCATACCATATCCATCAAAATAACTATTAATTTTTTGTATGAAAATAATTAATATTTATCTTGTTGTGTTATTTATCTTGTAAGATAATTGTATCACTAACTTGGAAGATGGAAATTTGAAGTAGGAAATATTAGTGTGTGATTGTGAGATTGGTATTCACGTGAGAAAGAGGGAGAATAAGGGTGAGTTTGGCAGAGAGGATAAAGCAAAGGGAGAGGGCATCACACAGTGGCCCCACATCGAGAAACATCTTCAACACAGTAGTACGGCCATATATATTTATTAGCTCCTGCCCATCACAGCCTATCACTCTCGCACTTAATGTTACTTTATCCTTTTTTAAATACACATCTTCAACTTTAATTTTATACTCATTTACTCTTAAATTTTACTCATTAACAAATAAACACCTTCAACTCTTCATCCTACTTTTTTTTTTTTTTAACTATTAACACGGAAAAATTACACTAACACTTCATATAGTTATTAAATTTCATGTATACTATTGTTAATAATTATGTTAATCTGTGTGAATTATATAATATTGGAAATTTGACATTGACTTACTTACATCTTTTTATGAAAGGATTAATTTTTCTATAACTTTATTAAAATAGGCCGTTTTTTAAAATAATTATAAAAATGGATTAAGTCAAATTTAATGAAACAAATTAAAATGTGAAAAAAGAGTATTAGGTAATACAATTTTAGCATAATTTTTTAAAAATTAAAAACATTTTTAATTATATCCATTTTTTAAGTAAATTAATAATTTATATATGGAAAATTAATTATAATTTATTAATAATATATATTACTTAATATATGTATATATAATAAATATATATACACATAAAATTATTATAAATTATATATATATATATATATACTCTAGAAAAGACTAATTTTATTTAAAAAATAATTAATTTTATATATACATTTTATATAATTTAAATATAAATAATAAATTTAATTTATACTTATTTTAAATTTTAAATAAAATTTATTTATAATATATAAAGATTTGAATTGAATATAACTTAATAACATAATATCTAAAATAGACTTAATCTGATAAATACATTTAGTTAAACTAAAATTTTTGAAATATAAATTATATTAAATCTATTTTCATCCTGTCTATTTAAGTTCAGCTAAATTTAAATTATATAAACATAATTCATTTTATAAATAATAATTATTTTTTAAATAACAGTAAAAATAATATCATTTTTATTTAAAATAAAATTATATATATTATAAAATAATTTAATAAAAAATTTACTTATTTTATAAATAAATATAAGAATAAGATTTTAATATTCACTTATTTAAATATTTAATGATTAAAATAAATTATTATTTTAAATTTATATTTTACTAAAATTAATAATAATAAATAATAAATTTTTAACTTTTATTTGAATTAAATGAAAATTTATATAATCTTTAAAATAAAAATTAACTTTATTAATATAATTTAAATGTTAAAAATATATTTTTAAATTTTATTAATTAATTATTTTAAAATAGACACGCTAATATTTATTTTTAATTAAATCAAAAACTAATTCATTAATCTATTGACTATTAATAATATTTGCTTAGCCCGTATAAGCAAATCAAACTGAGTAACACCGTCCATCTTCATAACTTCAATTCAAAAAGTATTGTATAGTCCTTCTACATTTTTTTTTTATATATGAAGTCGTTTTACCAATTACGACTTAACGTATTTTCATCATTAAAAAATTGAAGAAAAATTAACCCCATTTTAATAATAAAAAAAAGGCCCACTCACCTATATTAGAATAAAATAAATAAATAAATAAATAATGGCAGATTTCATTCTATAAATCCACTACAGGGTTCTTTTTCTTTTCAGTGAACTCACATCTTAAATTTCGAAAGACTCACATCAAATAAACTTTTGGATAAAGAGTGCAAAGAAATCACGCGTTGAATTTTTTATTATTTTATTCATTTTTAAATAATTATATTTTATTATTATTTATTATATAAAAGATTAATAGTTACAAAGGAAAAAAATAATGAATTATTAATATTTAATATAAATCATTTAACTCAATTTTATTAGAAAAAAAAACTATCTATAAAAAATTAATAGATTTCAAGGATTAATAGGATAAAATTTAAATTATAGTTGTCTAATTACAAAAGCCGTAAAATGAATTGGAACAAAATAAAGTTATTTGTATAGGAGATAAAGTTTGACAATTAATTAAGACAAAATTAAAGAGTAGGAGATTATTTATTCGCGGAAAGATTAAAGTTTTGGGAGGCTCAAATACTCTCATTTTTTTTTGTAAAAAATTGATTAATTTTAGTATAAAAGGTATAATTTCAAAATAAATAACTCAGGATTAAAGATGAAATTGTAATACATCAATGTATTTTTCTTTAATTGAAATAATATGTTTTTCAGATTATAAAGTTTAAAAGTGCAAAAAAAATAGTAAAACACAATTCTATCCCTTTTCATATGCATTTGTTGCACTAACTAACAATGGTCTTTAGTCTATTTTTAAGGAAAAGTTCCAAACTTCATCTACCATTTTTGTTGCGCCTAAGGCAATCTTTCTCCAATGTTTTCATGAATACACAGATTCTAAACTTATCCTTTAATGGTCTTCCAACCACAAATTCTCGTGATTGTCATCCATTGCAACAAAAAGCGTGAATGAAACCACTTAGGAGGTTGTCTTTCAAGAAAGACTTGTTACATGTAATGCCTGTAACTGTAGCCACTTATAATGCCTAACTATTAGTTGCAAAACAGTAACTACTATACTACTGCAGAGAAATTATGACACAATTATCATCCTTAATAAACAAACAATTTCCTCTGAATTGACTAATATAAATGAAGCCTCCAACTGGCTAATCTTCATCTTTAAATAGATAGGCTTTTCAAAAATCCCAGTTCTATTGAGGTAACATAACCTCAAAAAACATTTTACACACTCTGGAATATTAAGTTTATCTGAAACCCAATATCATGCCCTCTTTACCTACCTAACTATAATATATATATATATATATATATATATATATATATATATATATATATATATATATATATATATATATATATATATATATAGCTATAGTTTGCTTCTGAACAGCAACATCCACATGAACGTTATCGACATCGATTAACTAAGGAAAAACAAATGAAAACCACCGTTTTAGTAGTGATAATCATTGAGACATTCATTTCAATTAAGACTAAATTTGCTAACCTTTCAGCCATGGTCCATCATGCATATCCAGCCATTCCAACTGTGGAGCTCACTCGATTTGCCTTATGAGAAACTGGTGTGGCTGTTGCCTTTGTGAAGTACATGTAGTAGTATACGTTAAGAATCATGGTTGCAACAATAAAAACTGCACCGGCAACAAAAACACCTTTCCGCAAGGCTTCACAGGAGAAGTTTTGAGCATAAATCATTCCTCGGTATTTGGTGTGGTAGGCATTCTTGGTTGCACCTGCTATCAAACACGCTTCTGCCACCAGAAAAGTGATCCTGGGAATGCATAAAAAAATGTGGACCGTGTTGGTAATAGCATGAATGATCTTACAGATCCATGACAATCATGTGGTGTTTCTTTAATGAGTCGTATTTTGGAATTTGTCGGGACCAGAAAGCATAACATGACTATGTAAAAAATCACATACTGTAGAGTAAAATAACATTTTTAGACCAAATTTATGAGCAAAAGGTTAAAACTCAAAAAAAATAAACCATCAGCGATGAGGCAGATAATGAAAACTTCAATGACTCTTTTCACTTGAATAACATTAGCATACATTTGAAGCATACATCATTCTTACCACAATATCTTAGTTTCTTCAATGATACAAAATAGAAATGGGTCGTGTACGAATTTAGAAATCATACCAAGAAGAAAGAAAATATATAATGGACCACGCTCGATTTCCCCCAGGTGTTAAGGGCCTCCCAAAGCACATGCACTTTGTTACTCCCATTAGCAATGATTCACCTGAAAGAAGAAACAGGAAAGCACCCACTCCATAACCCGTCGCAACATCTGAACTGTAGCTGCAATATGTTTCATTTGTTTTTTCAATTTTGTACATGGTTCCCTGTCAAGTAATAGCAAATAAAAAAAGGGGCCGGCCAAGTCAATGCACATTAACAAGAATATTAAAAACAACATAAATAAAGTACACCTCATTTAAAACAAACAATGACTGCAAAAACATTAACCCTGAAGGGTATTATATATGCAGCAACAACCATGTCTAGACTTCCCATTATGCAAGTGTGGCAGAGCTTTATAGAGTGATCAAAATTCACCATGGCCCTGAATAGGAAATGCTCTTTAAAAGAGGTATTTTATTGTTTTAACACATTATTTCCATCTGTCATAGTTTTTTTACAGTTAATCGGAACCCATATTGATTTATAAAAAAACCCAGGTAAAGGGTAGAAAGTGGTCAACTATGGAGAATGGGCCCACCAAAAAGATGTAAGAAACTCCCTTTCAAAATGTCTACTGCGAACACTTCCTGTTTCCAGCATTTAACACAACAACCTCTAAAGACACATCCAATCACTCTATATCCCAGTACTGTTACTTATGACAACGAAGATAATGTCACATAATGGTTACAAACATACACATAGAGAGAAAAAGGGAGAAACAACAGAAGATACATATGTAGTGCCAAAAGTGAGAAAGATACATGCAACCTCTTTGGAAGTCAACGAAAACAGTAGAAGTAGCACAAGTTAGTGAGTGGGACAAGGATCTATAATTTCCCTAGTTATTCTGGCACCAGGCTCTCTATGTGGCATGGCGCTTGAAGATGTTCTTTTATAACCAGTCAATACCAATAGATGAACAAGTTACCTTAACAGCTAGTTCACAAGGAGAAGTGGCAAAAAAGTGGCTTACAAAAGCATGAATGACAAAAAGAACTGTGCAAGTATTTAAAAGTGAGTGGTTTTCCACGATCAGTAGCAATAATTATGGAGACTATGAAGAGGTTCTCACCAAAATTTAAAAAACAGGTCACTTGAATCAAATACCGAGAAGAACCAGCAAGATTGACAAACAAAATTCTTCAATGATAAAAAAGGCTCTAATGGTGCGTTTAATGGGGGTCTTAAAGATATGATTATTAATCAAAACAACATGTTCAAATACAAGGCATTGAGAGGTGGCTATCAGGCTGGAAAGAATGCATGATGAGCAATTATCTCATCAATTAGATGCAAAGCTCTCAACTCAGGCTAAATGAGGCATGCTCATATAAGAAACTCATGGAAACAGACAATAAAAAATGAGTTTATATTATATCACTCCTGACACAATGTGCTGCCATTGTACCACCTGCAGAGGCAGAGTAAATGCACATGAACACTTTACATGTTATGGGTGTAGTTGGGAAAAGATAATTATCAGCAGAATATTTAAATAGCGTGATGAAAATAAAATATTTCCAATGGTTGTAGGTTCCAGAAGCTAGTTACTCAAGATTATGAGCATGACTCACTTTGAGGAAACAATACCTTGAGTCTCACATCCTAATACATCCAATCATTCATAAGAGAAAAACATTAATTGAGTTCTGTTTTCTGCGCAGAATTTACTGAAGAGTTCAACCAAAAAAATGTGATGGATAAACAATGTTCTAGTGTTGTGCTATTTGTACAACAATTTAAACAACAATACTTTTTTCCTCTCTAGCCCATCATTAATTATATATCATACAAAGCCTTTCCTTTCTCTTTGTTGTACAAATAACATGTCTCTTGGTTCTAAATTTGCTACCTTTAAATCGAGGTAGGATTGCAGACAACCTATTTAGTATTGGTATTAACACAAAATGAATGGTATAACTGAATTAACCATACAGAAGATCCAGCTTCTCTATCTAGTTCCCAGGGTAATGCAAACTTCACAATGTGTTTATTATAAACCACACCAAAAGATGACAATGCAAATATTGGTTGTGTTGTCTTAGTTTGCTATCATTTGCCAATAAATGTCCATTTTTTGAGCAATAACTCATTCTTAATAGATTGTGAATACAGTCTACTAAATTAACAATTTTCAGTAAATAATTAATTCAATCCCTAGAATTTAGAATTGGTTTCATTAGTGTACCCTTAACGAAATATATATGGATCAACATCCTATCCATTTCTTCTGTTACTAAAATTTTGGGAAAATAAATGAATTATTACCAAATAGTTATTTCCCTGCTAATAAAATTCTTACCAGTTCTAATATTTCAGTAACTTCATAAATAAAACGATCGTTTCCCCCTTCTGGTGAAAACAAAAAGAGGAGAAAATAGGATCACAGAAGTAAGGTGTAGAAAACAATTTTCTTCTCTTTCGTTTGAGTCTCATAAAATAAGCTCAATTCATTTTTAACTGAGTTCACTTCATTTTTTTTATTTTCTCTGTAAGAGGTTATTGAGAGATTCAACGAAAAAATCACAGGGAAGGCAAACACAACACTTAGACATAAATTTCAACATAGATCTATGTGAAATTGTGAAGCTGTGACGCAATTTACTTCTCACATAAACACAAACATACGGGGAGGAAGACAACTAAAAGTGAACAAAAAGCAAAATCATCTGCACAACGCAAGGCAAAATAAAGTGTGTGTGAAAGTGAAAAAGAGTAACTTACGACGCTTCGTCTTCTCTCAGCGGCAATGGCGAAGCCAAACGCGACCAAGCACAAAACGACGACCAAAAGGTGGACGAGAGTAGACCCTCTTCCCTCTGCCATCTCTAGCTGCAGCGAAAGCCTTCACTGTCTCTGAGAAAATGGGTTTGAGTGTGTAGCTGAACGGAAAGAGAGAGGAGAGTGAGAAGTTGAAGTAGAAAAAGTGTGAACAAAGTGAGTACTTTTGCTGATTCGCGGCCAAATAATGTAAAGCGATGTTTGTTTAGGAGAATGTTGGACCCACGCGCGGATGTGAAGAGCGTATCATACGTTCTCTTTGAGGGAAGTGAGGAAGAACAAATCAGTGTAAGTGTGACTCTGGGAAGAGTAGGAGGAGAAATGTCGGTTCTTACCACGCGCCTGGTCTCGGTGGTGTTATCATTTTCGAGGCCACCACTAATTTCGGTTTTTTAAATTTTTATTTAATGGTGTTCCTTATTTCGGTAATTTTTATCTCGGTCCTGTACTTGTCCCACCTTAATTATAAACTATCTACGGTAGTATTTTTTTTACCATAACATTTTTCATTTTCACGTTATGTTAATTTTTATTGTAATAATAACGTGTTATGAAAAACATGTAAAGAAAATTTTTACAAAATAATAATAATATAAAATATTTTTATTTTAAACCGTTAAAATTTTGACGAACAATAAAATGTCTGAAGAAAAACAATGATAAAATACGTGAAAAAGGCATAATAAAAATCATGAAATGAAAATAGCTGAATAGTAAAAATATGTAGCAAAAAGAGTTATCATCACGTTGGAAAAAAAGAAAAATAAGATAGATGAGAAATAATAAGCAAAAAAGAATAGATAAAAATAAGTGAAACATAAATTAAATATGTTCGATTAAAAAAGTTGAATCAAAATATTGTAATACATTTTACATATTTTTAAAGTATTCCTCTATTAAATATATTATGCTAAACATCACTAGTCTCTTTTGATCTAGTAAATATTATTTTTCATCTAACATATCAAACAAGGTCCCAAGGCTTGGCATCGAGTTTCATCCATTACTTTCAGAACCTATGGGCAAGTTTGGTGTTGGATAACACACGAGCTTAACGGGTGGGTTACATTGATTTGGGCCTCAATCTAAACCAAGACATTTCTTTAAGGACTGATTCTTCGTGTAGGTTGTTTTTTCCTGCAACCCATACGTTCTTTTTGCAACTCTTATTTTTGAAAAACTAATTTTGAGAAACACAATTCAAAAATTAGTTATGGATTGTTGAATCAAGAAATGAGTTGAATATATTTTTGAAAAATACAATTTAGAAATATATTTATGAAAAATACAATCTTAAAATAAATTCTAGATTATTAAATTTGGAATACATTTCTAAACCATAATCTAAAAAAAATAGATATGAAAATTTCTATTTCGCAATTTATTTTTAAATTGTGTTTTTTTTAGATTCAACAATCCAAAATATTACAAATGCAAATTAAATATGACCTTTTATGATATTTTTAGATGCACAACATATTATACTTTTAAAAATAGTGAGATTCTTAACTCAATTCTATAAAATTAATTCAATAAGGTGAAAAATATATTTACTTATATATTATTATATTTGTAGTCGATATGAGATTTCTCATCATACTCTTTCACATTGAAGAAAATATTTTCATCATATCTTCATCACATAGAAGAGAAATTTTTCATCTCATCCCCTCATATCAAGGATGAATAGTCCAATATTTATTTAATAACAGGTACTTAAGTTCACAATTTTTAATAGTTATTATCCTAATATCGCTAAAGTTGACTCTAATATTATTTTAGAGATAATAAAATATATAACTTAATCTTACGAAACTAATTTAATAAGAGGAGATTATAATCGCTTATATACTATTATACTATTATATTATCATATTTTTAGTCAATTTAGTATTTCTCAATATATACTATTCAAAACATAAATCAATAACAAATTTTTAATCTTAAGGTGAAAATGATGTTTGGATGGAAAGACAAGAGGAGGTGTAACAAAAATATATAAAAGTATTAGTTTTGAGGTGTAATGAAAAAATAATAATTAATTTTAAGGATATTTTTGACATTTTATATGTATTTTGGAAGTGTAAAAGAAATGATTGTGGTGCAATAAAACAAGCAATCCTTCGTGCATCTAATATACATTCTTCCAACGTCCCATCTTCATAAATAAATTATAAAAAAATATTTTTAACAAAACCTTTCTAGAAATATTTTTAAACTGACCTTTTTAAAAACTTTCCAAAATGAGTTTTACGAAAATATTACAAATTAGCCTCTTCGAAAACTTTCCAGAAGTGTTTCAAAATCCAAAACGATTGATATTTTCAGAAGCTTTTCATGAAACTTTCAGAAATAGTTTGGATTGACTTTTTCAGAACAACAAGTTATATTCCATAAAAATAATTTCCAGATTTAGTTTCCATAATTTATGTATTGATCTTTTCAGATGATAAATTTATGTTCCAAAATTCATAATAAAAATTATATATTTTCATATTTATTCATCCATTTTTTCAAAAATTTCAATTTAGAATACTCTAAAATATATTTCCAAATTACTAGTTATATAAAGATATTATTGTCTTTTCAAATAAATACGGGTGAAGAAAAAAAATGAAGGTGCAAGAAAATAAGTCCCAAACTTTCGAAGCATAATTTCATATATATTTGTTGAATTGGACTTGTATTAAATTTTTTAAAGTTAAATATAAATTACCTTTCTTTTTGCATTGGTTATTTCAAATGTATATGTAACGAGCTAACACCGAAATAATAAATTATAAAACAAGCCACAAAAAATAATAGATTTTCAAAACAAATACATTATAATTGTCTTGCCCCCTTCTAATGGTTAAATTTTGTGTTGATAATAATAGTTAAAAAATAGAATTTAAAGCGCGCTTTTAAAAATTTAATCGAATATGACACGCAACTATGAACGTTGCAAGCTGCAACGTATAACTTGTACAAAAATACCAAACACACATCAGATATGAATAATCAATCTATTAAACAACAACAAAAACCACGTGACAAGTTTTTCCAGCCTGTAAAATTTGGTTGTATCTAAATAAGTCATAAGATTGGGGTTTAACACGTCAGAACGAGTTTGACACGATGAAACGATTCTGAAAACTAAAATTAAAATAAAAAATAAGTTATGTCAGATTAAAAAAAGCAAAAAACATTGTCCATTGAGTATTTTAGCATTAGATGTAACGTTACATAAAAAATCTACTTGTGTTAAAATTAGTAACGGATTTTATTGAGAGTTGGTACAAAAAGTTTTGTAATTTATATTATTTTAGTTATAATTTTAATCTCTAAATAATTAATCTCAAAATTTTATAATTTTAGTTTTTCTAAATTATTAAATATATTTATATTTACAAAATTGATTTTTCATTTTTTTTATATTTTTATATTTATTTATTATTTATTAATAATATATTATTTAAAATAAGTAAGATCCACCAGTAAAAAACTCAACCCAAATTAGTAATTTATTAAGAGAAATAATTTAAAAATTAAATATCATATAAAGCGATTTATTCTATTTATTTAATATTAAACCAGTAACCGTAAAGTAGTTTAGTATGACCAACATCATATATTGTGGTAGGTATATTAGTTGTGACGTAAACATTTACAATAATGGTTTTCTTGGTTGTAAATGAGTGGAGAAAGTTGTCTAGCGATGATGGAACATCATAAGTTGCAGTGAGACACCTTCTAATAAGTAGCCACCACAGGACACATATTGCATTGAGTTTGTAATTACATTTACAACATCTATTTTGACAAATAGACAGTTATTTGGTTGAAGGAATTAATTAAAGTTATTATGAGACAACATTATCTATCTCCACACCAAAAAGTGTACTGTTCTAAATTCTTTTTCCATTTTATAACTTGCATTATTTGATTAATCAATTAATTTAAACCCATCACATGTTTTAATCTTCCTAAGTATAAATCAAGATCTTTGACTATATTTTTAGTTAAACTTAATGTTAATAGAAAAATAAATTAAAACAATAATATATGATGTGAGATTGAACTACAAAACGATCCGCATCCACAAAGTTGAGATAGCAAATGCAAGTACAAAATCGTAGTTTAATAGGGATTGCAAACAAAAACCCCTTTATAACATTCTCTTGCATGCATAATATTATTCTGAATATATCTTCTCTTCAACTTTTCTAGAAATATATTAAGAAAACAATAAAATTAAAATTACCTTATTTATAAACTAGATTTATCTACATATTAATTAATTTTTACAAATTCTTTCATATAGTTTCTTTAAAAATTATGCTTTTTTATACAGAGATTATTTTCATTTTACTATTATTTTTAAATTATTTGATTAGAAAATTGATCTGACACTTTTGAATTAACCAAATTATTTTTATATAATTCAATTTTATGTTATTTTATATTTTAAAAAAACCAGGCGAACAAACTATAATTAAATATGTTATAAAATACTTGTTTTTTAATCAATAATTTTCGATGAATTGTTTTATTCATGATATTTATCATTAATTTAATTAATATATACATGTGTTTTAATTTTTTTTAACCTTTTAAAGATGTATCAAAATAAGTTTAGTTAAATTAACTAATCAAAATAATTAAAAAAAATACATTATTTTATATCACAAAGCTTAAATTAAATCAGATTTTTATCCCACTAAATCATAATCATAATCTCCTTATATTTAAATTGAGTTAGCGATATCTACTAAAATCAATTTATTTTATAAAATAATAATTATTCTTAACATAAAAATAATATTATTTTATTAATATTTATATTATAAATAAATTTGATAATATATTGACTTATCCTAATGATAAATATTAAAATAATTTTTTATTAATCACTTATTTTAATATATAATAATTAAAATTAATTATTATTTAAAATTAATAAATTATTAATAAAATAATAATAATGTAAAAAATAATTTTTTATTTTTTATTTTAAAATTAAATAGATGTTTGTATAATTTATTTATATATTAAATTATTATATCTTTTAAAATTTAATTTTATTTAAAATATTTAAATTTTATAAGTATATTTTTTATTTAAATATTTGTTTAACTAATTGATTCGGTATATATATATATATATATATATATATATATATATATTTTTTTTTTTTTTAAATTGAATCAGACTAAAATTAACTTATTAACTCATTCACCCAACCTAAAGTCGTATTAAATTAAAAAATTCAGCATGTTTTAAAACGATAAAGTCCAAACTAGACAGTAAATTTTCAATGTTCATTTTAATTGAATGCATCAAAATAACAATCTTTTTTTATAACCGTTCAAAGGACCAAGTAGTAGATATAGAAAAATCGATTTGAATTTTCAACTCCATTTAATTCTCGTTAGTCTTTCACGATAACATTATCTTATTAGTTGTTTCACTCTTACTCTAATGTTACTGATACTAGAAGAAAAAAATGTTCTTAATTGAGATATTTCAATAAACATTTTACAGTAAATAAAACAATACACCTACAAATAAGATCACCCTAAAATAAAATAAAAAATTTAAGATTTATTCTATATATAATACCTGTGAACAAAAATAAATCAAACTTCTATTTCAAACTAGCTTATCACTAATTTGTTTAATTATGTTAATTTCTCGTATAAATCAAACATATTTAATATAATACATAAGGACATTTATATTAAGAAAGAGTTGATGCACACCTTTTTGTTGACGATTAACATATATAATGAAATAATAATAATAATTAGGAAGTTTTACTACTTTTATGTAATTTTTCATTGCTTTTACATATTTCTAATAATTTTCTAATATTACAAATACAAAGTAATTATTCACATTAATTCTTATTTAATTATATTTAATTTAAAAATAAGAACATTTTGATAATATATTAAATTAATTAATTACTATGTTTATTATTCTTTCAAATAATTAAATTATTTTTATTTCAATTCCTTTTTTTACTCTCTTGTATCTAAACAAAATATTAGTTTTTTTTTTTAAATTACTTACTTATCATATTTAAAAAAATATTGTAATTACCTTTTATAAATAAATTTATGAAAGTTATTTTGACAATAAATAAAAAACTATTTTATTTATGATACTAAAAGTAATTAAAACTTATTAAAAGATGAAAACTCATATAATATTTTGATTTTGAAAGAATAAACTGGGTTTATCTGCAAAGTTAAAGGACGAAGCAGTGAGTGAGTGGTGTACGATTTGTAGGTTATAAATTATAATAATCGATCTATTAATAAAATAACACCACATCTAACGGCAGAGACATCGGTGTCGGCTGGAAAGACGGATCTTACTGTGTCTCTTCAACTACTTTTCTTTCTCTCTATTTTTACGTTCTGATTTGTTTTTTTATGCATTAAATTTTGATTGGGTAGTAGTACTGTTTGGTTGTTACCAAACGAAACGAGTGACACGCACGAAGACAGAGGGTGAAATGGTGTACAGCTAGCGCAGCTGCCAAACAAGTCTCTTATCGGGATACAGCGTCTTTTCTTGCCTGTGCTTCACAACACCCATGCTTTGTCCCCACTTTCTCCATTTATGTTCTCTTACCTTCTCATCTCTTAACATCTTTTAAATTCATTAATAGGGATTAAATAATATCACAAATGCCACTAATTAAAAAATATAAAAAACATTGTGGAAAATATCACTGTAATTTCCAACATAGGATTCCACAAAAAACATTCCATTTTAGTTTTCTTAATCACTTCCTTCCTTATAATATTTTATATAATTAATTAAATCATACTGATAAAAATAGTTATTGAGGTATTTGATAAAAAAATAATAATTTATATGTCACTACTCTTGCTTGATTAATAAAAAAAACTATAAACAAATAATAATAATAATAATTTAGTAATGTACAAAGTCTTATGCCACATGAGGAGATAACTCATCAATCCACTTTATTACAAATTGACGTAAAAATAAATTAATAATTAATACATTTTAAAATGGTCATGTATTTCTTATAATTAAGACCTACAAATTTTCCTCCATACCAAAACTATAGTGTTTTGGCAATTTAGTTTTGTTCTGGAATTATAGTCGTTTTTCAAATTTAAGATAAAACTTGTAATATTTATTTATTTATACCTTTATTTACATCTGTTAAAATAATAAATTTTACGAAATTGTTACATTAAATAGGAATATTTTAGTCTACAAGTATAATACTTTGTCCTGTCTTTAAAAATCAATGATATAGAAGGTTAGTTGATTAATTGATAACTTAAAAAAAAAATTCAACTACATGAATTATTTTCATTATTATGTGATAATGTTAAAAATGTTTCCTGTTATTAATAACCAGATGGAATTAAATAGTAAATTATACTTTATCCATCCAACTTTAAATGTAAATAATATATATATATATATATATATATATATATATATATATATATATATATATATATATATATATATCAGGGCATTAGACATGAAGTGCATGTTTTAAATATGATTCAGATACACAATCCGGGTTTCTTTAATCTTAATTCAATGTATTTGGATTAACTGAATCCGGGATAAAAACTGGGATGTTCCATAGGAAAGAAAATGTTCAGAGTTTGGTGCACTCAAAATAGCGAGATAATATGATACCCAGAGAAATTTACGGATTTTGGTATAATTGTTTTCTGGATATTAAGAGTTGAATGAGTATGAACACGGCAAACAATAGAATGGTGAGTAAGAAAACCTTTAAATTTCCGAGGATACCATAAAACTACCGAACATAGTATTTGATGAGAAGAGATAATAGAAATCAAATTCAATAGTCTTCTACGCACTCATAGAACTCTCATGATTATACTATGTGGAGAACCCTTGGACGGCTCCAGAAGCACAAGAAAACTCAAGGCAATTCTCCCTTTGCCTCTCTCATTGATCTTCTATCTCCCTAAAAAAACAAATAAATAGACTCACAGAACAACTACCCCAGGACTTGGTTTTATCCAGAGATCTCACAAAACTCTAGCAATTTTAAGCATATAGCACAAAACTTGAAATGTAGTACAACTCTAATGGGCAGAACTGATTCCTATATAGCTGCAAAATTTATAAGCAAGGTATATTGAGGGGTTCTTCAATCCAACCAGCAAACTCATCAGCACCAAAGTCATCAAAATCAAAATCAGGAAGCTCACTAGGCTGACTGTCATCAAAGCCATAAATCTGCATGTCCTCCAAGGCAGCAAGATCATCATCAAAGCCAAGCTCCTCATCAAATCCATGCTCTAGATTGTCCAATGGCAACCAATCAAAATCAAACTGAGAGGAAGAAGTAGCATTGGCTGCAGATGGAGGTGGCACAGTCAGCATACTCAAGTCTGGGATTTCCAGCTCAGCAAACTCAGAGGCCAAACCTTCGGCCTCCAAATCTTTAGTATCAACAATTTCATTGCCTGAAACCTTACCACTCCCAGTCAAATTGGAAGCAGAGGTATCCAACTCAAGCACAGAATATGGTGATGTATGTGACAGGATACTACTATCTGAGTAGTCATTAGTAGCAGACTTGGAGTCTGATACAGAACCTTCATTAGAAGAAACACAGTAGTTGTTCTTTTCAGGGGCAGCCACAGTTACAACAGATGCAACAACATAGTTGTTGCTGTCCATCATGTTGTTGGTGATGATGTTGTTGTTGCTCCTCTCATTAGAGAGAGCCTTGGCCGTGGCTTCAAACTCAAGCCTTTTGGTCTCATAGGCAAGAGAAGCCTCTTCTGCAGTGTTGTAAGTGCCCAACCAGACACGGGCACCCTTGAAAGGATCGCGAATCTCTGCAGCCCATTTGCCCCATTTCCTCATACGAACACCTTTGTATTTCCCACAAGATTGTCTCTTCACCGAGTGACTTTTGGTCAAAACCCTCTTCTTGTTCAGTTCCTCATTGTTTGAACTCTCAGTACTAGTTTCAGCTGCAACGACAGAGTTAACTGGAACAGGTGGAAGAGAAATCTCAACCACAGTTCTCTTCACCTTCCAACCATTTCCATAGTGCTCATCTTCATCCGATGACGAGTCGGTAGCATCAGGATCATCACAAATGATGCGCAGTTTCCTTGTCATTTTGGTACTGTGAAATGGAATTCGCTTTTGCTTCAACTTCTTCATCGTTTTAGCCGATTGATTAAGAACCTCCAGCATGGCGAAAATTTGGGTCAAAACCCCTAAAACCCCTCAAAATACCCAGAAAATTGTTTATCAAAACAAAATCAAAATTTTAAAATAAATAAAACAAAAAAATCCTCAACATTTCAAGAATATCAGGTGAGATCCACTCTTAGAAGGAGGAAGAAACTAGAAAACTTTTTTATCTGAAAGCTTCCATAACAAACCATAACTCCATGACATGTCCTGCAAAATAAAACAAAACAAAAACACAACCACAAGAAAAATCTCAAGCCCCAACAACAACATCAAATCCAAAACATCAACAACAAAAGCACAAATCCCGCATACCGTTTTGGTCTCAAACTCATCGAAACAGCAGTATTCAACACTAGCCAGAATAACATGCAGTAAACACAAGCATAACCAAAGCCCAGCTGCAACAGAGCTCCAATCACTACTTCCAAATAAAACCAAGAAGACATAAATCTCCTGCTCTTCCTCCTCCAATGGATTCCCCACAGAAATCCCAGCAAAAAAAATCACACCACACTCCCCTCTGACCAAAAAGAGAGAAACTTTAAGTGATAGAGTTACACAGTATTTATAGAGCCACGCCACAAGGCAGTACTTTTAGATGAAAAGATTATAAATCTATGGCCAACATTTTTCTGTCTTAAAATATATTTTTTACAACCGATCTACCACCTGTGTCCGGGTTAGCAGAAAAAACAAAACAAAAGAAGCGGCGACCTTGGCACACGGATTGAAACAGACACAGACGCGAATCTCTATAAAAACATTAGACAACCCAGTTGCATATTAAAAAGTAACACTACCCTGTTTATCCCAGAAGAATCTCTAAGACTTTTCTCATGGTAATTTTTACCTGGATTTGTTTGTAATTGTATGTTTGGGTGTATAATTCAGAATTCACTGTTGTGGTGGCTGGCTCCCAACCTCTTTTTTTTTTTTATGCCCTGTCGCTTTCTCCTTCGGGTTTCACACTCTCTCTTCACTCTGTTATTCTCTCTCCTCTGTTTTTTCTACTGTTTCATTTCCCACTCACTCAGTCACCCTTTTCATTTTGCTTTTCATCATTCCTTTGTGTGAATGATGAATGTGTGCCGTCTCCAACGTCTTCTCTAGATTTTTATGTTTTTTGGGAAGACATATTTGTCAAATATTTATTCCAAAATAACTATGTTCCTTTTCTAACTGTTCTATTTCTGAGACATGCGTGTATGATATTAATTTTTTCATTTAGTATTTTTGTCTTTCAAACTAATAAAATAAACTAACAGTTTATCTTTTCACACAGATATTATCAACGTTGATATTTGAAGCTAATATGAACTAAATGATTAAAAATAGTTCATATTTTAAAAAATATTTAGTTTACATGAATAAGATATAGAAGGAGTTAGAATTTACATATTTTTTTTATTAATTAAAATTTTTAAAGATTGAATTTATTTCTTATTTAATGATTTTTTTAATGGTGTTTGGAAAATAATATTCTTAACATTTCGTTTGGTAATTAAGATTATTTGTTTTATTTTTTAATAGGTTGAAAATGCACCTTGATTTTTGTGACGATGCTGTGAGAATAACGCGTTTTATTTATTATTTTGTCTTGTAAAATGAGTAATTTGTTTTTATAATACCATTTTTGATTGAGCGTTATATCATAATGAAAGTTGACGTTATTCTTGAAAAAGTTATACAATGTGTGAAGAAAAAACGCACCCTATTTATTTCTTTATTGTGTATCCAGAGATGCACTTAAAGGAAAAATTTTTTTTTTTAAGAAATGTATTTTTATTACTTATTTAAATGCACTACCATATACCAATTAGAGAAATAATTGGGTTACTCAATTGAGTTTTAAATGTTATTTTTTCTAGGTAAATATTTAGATTTAAAAATTTAATTTGAATTATTAAATTTGACTACAGAATATATTGGAAAATTAATTTAATTAGAAATTTATATTTATGTTGAAAAGTAAAAATGTGTTAGATTGTATATGTATTGAAATTTTGGAACGAAGTATAATGAGTTGTTCCTTGAAAAAAATAATAAAAATTTGTTAGACATACAAAAAATATTTTAATTATATACTACTTCCTTTTCAAAATAATTGTAGTTTTAATAGTATAAAAAAGATTCAAAATGAATTATATCGTCACGTTTTAGTAAGATAGATTTTTTATTAATATATTATCCATTTCTTTATTTATATTAATATATTTATGGAAAAATGAAATTATTTTAGTAAAATTATTCCAAAAAGTAATACATTTATTGTTATTCTTAATATATATATATATATATATATATATATATATATTAAATTCCAATAATTGTGGACTGGTAGTATTTTTAGAATAATGCCAAGTGAATTAAGTTTTCTAATCAAGAGATTAGCAACAATAATAACTAAACAAAATATTAAACTTTTAACAATAAACAATTAAACTATATGAAAAAAATATATTAAATTAAATTATTTATCGACGTCGCCTAAATAAAACTCTATTCAGTGTCATCGCATTAATTTTTATAATGAGGGGGTGAACTTACTAAGTGCGTGGGATGTAATAGAAAGTCGATAATTTATCTGAAACACACGTCTCCTTCTTCTTCTTTTTTCTTTAATTCTTCTCCTTTATCTGTACCCTAATTAATAATTATCTTCTCATTCTTATTAGAGAGATGAAGAAAAAAAATATAAGATTGCAGTCACTATCCTCTCGGTGATAAGGTGTGTGTCAGTGTATACCATTTTTTCAAACATAAGGGTCAGTCACGTGACCCTTCCCATCAACCCCGTATCATGTAATCTCATTCATACTACAAAATATCAAAATTAAGCTTTTGGAACAAAAATATATTTATTTTGCATTTTCATGTTTCAAAACTCTTGACTCCAGTTCTCTAAGAATTTATTATAAACTTCTCTTTCCATCTAAATTAATAAGCTTTGACTAAAAAAAGACTTTCGAAACAAAAATACCCTTTAGTCAATTTTTACTCCAACAACATAATCTTGTGTGTCTTTGTTAGAAAGATTCATCCATGTTCTTGTGCAGTTTGCAAGATTATTATATTCCCATAAATAATCTTTCTCTCGCAACTTAGTACAAAACAGTGATACCATGATGGTTCACAGCACTCTTGCCTCAATTGTTTTTCTCATGAATTTATAGTTAAATTTTTATAATTTAAATATCTATTTGAGACAAACAGTACACGGAAATAACAATATAATTAGAAAAATATGCATAGTTTTATATCTTTATAAATTAACATATCACTCCAAAAACAATTATTATTCGAGAGATGTATAAAGAGACATTTTGAAAATATAAGTGTGTAAAATTAACGATAAACAAATACTAAAAAAAGTAAAATGCAGAAAATTAATTAAAAATGTAATAAAATACCTAAAAAAAAGTATTGAAAAACCATGATTGAGAAACCAAAATAAAAGAAACAAATAAACACATGAAATACGTTATTGAAAATGAAATAAATGAAACATTATAGTAACTCATCAATAATAGAACACCAAGTGTTTGATTTTTAAAAACATTCAATATCTACACTCTTATGGACGAGGGAAATTATTTCAATATTCAACCGAAATAATTAGGGGTGCAGAACATGAAATGAATGATACAAAAGAGAAAATAAAAAAAATGCAGATGCATAGGAGGACGTGAAGAGCACCTTAAAATGAAAAGGTACAATGATTAGACTCTTGATGTTTAGTTTTGACTAGCTTCATATACTTGAGTTTAGTTTATTCTTCTAAGACTTGATTGAACATAGAGGATTCCAACAGGGTAATCAAATGCATAATTCTAAATCATTTGAATGACACGAAGTTTGAACCTCAAGTACCAAAAGAACTAGCATAACATTCAAATTGCTTGTTAAAATGGAAAAGGACGAGCAAAATTCTAGCTCATCTCTTCTCCCTCACAACGCCTACAAGAATTGTAGAAAAGAGAAGAACACAACAGAGTTACAAAATCATAAATAACATATGAAGCCCCCGAACCTATCTTCACCCCATTTTCCAGGTCATAGCAAAGTTTTTACCCACAGGGATGTTCAAGCCCTTCAAAGCAACCATCACGGTCTTCTTTTCTCCCTCTCCCTCACTGTTTAAGTGCAGATGTTGTGATGTACTAACATTCACATTTGACACACCAATTAGAGGCTTTCCATCTATCTCAAGTGAAGACACTGCACCACTTCCTTCTAATCCCAACACGGATATAGAGTCAATAATCCAACCTTTGTCCAAGGCAAACTTGCCCTCTTGGACATCTGACCAAACTTTCACTGCTCCTTGCTTCACAGTTGCATAGAGATCAACATAGGTTGAATAGCCATTACCAAGGTTCATGTCTGGAAGTTCATCGTTATCAAGGAAAAGGTTCCCCTTAGCCTCTCCTTCTGCTGCGCCCGATGGGAAGGTTACGATCAGGGTGAAGGGTGTCATTCGAGCCTCCTTGGAGACCATTCCACCCTGCTGCATAGGAAGAATGGTATTCTGATACAAATGGACGTTGACAACATGTAGAGGAGCATCGAGGGTAACGTAGACTCCATCTTTTGATGTAATGGTGTGTGTCCAATCAAGTAAACTGTACCAGCTACCTGGAGGAAATAGTGCTTTCACTTGTGTTTTTCCCTGCTCAAGCACCGGAGAAATCATGAGACTGCTTCCTAGCAAGAATTGGGTGCTAAGGCCATAACATTCGGTGTATGTTGGAAATGAGAAGAAAAGAGGTCTGGCAATTGGAGCTCCACTCACATGAGCTTCATAGTTCAGGGTGTAAAGGTATGGAAGTAGTTTATACCTTATACCCAAAGCATTTCTAGCAGACTCAGCTACTGACTGCCATTGGTAAAGCTCCTGTCTAGGGGAGTAGTAGTTTGCATGATCCCTTGAGAAAGGGTAGAAAGCCCCTACTTCAATCCATCTGTTGCATAGTTCTTCAGTAGGCTGTGGATAGAAGCCACATATATCTGAACCCACCATTGGCACCCCAAATATGCCAAAATTGAGCATTGTGGAAATAGAGTACTTCAAGTTCTCCCATGTGCCCTGATTATCACCAGTCCAATGTGCAGAATATTTGCCTGAACCAACATAAGTGGACCGGGACAAAATAAAGGGCCTTTTTCCTTGAAGCGCTTGGAGGCCGTTGTGAGTTGCAATGGATTGTGAGAAGCCATAGAGACTGTGAGCATCATACTCTAAAACACCGTTATAGTGGTATGCACTAGTGGCTATTGTTTTAAAGCCAATAGGAACTTTTAGTCCTGAGGCGTTAATCTTGTATGGAGGATCGTCCCACCTAGTTTTCGTTATGTTCTTGCAATCCAAGCAACATATCCATCCAGGTCCTGTTCCAGTAGGGCACTGTCCCTTGGGAATTTTGCACTTTCCAGAACAGAAATTTGAAGCTTCGTTCATGTCGATCCACAGGCCATCAACAGGCACAAGTTCATGGAAGCGGCGGATCTCATCAACCCACCAAGAAACAGTCTTTGGATTGAGAAAATCAGGGAAGTTTACTGCCCCAGGCCAAACTTGAGCCAAGAAGGGTTCTCCGTCATACTTGATAAAAACATCATTAGCTACACCCCTTTGATGTACACCATAACTAGTGTTAACAGAAATTCCAGGGTCAATAATAACAACATATTTCATGCCAATGCTGTGTATCTTGTCCAGGAAGTTCAAAAGCTTTGGACGAGGGTAGTTGACTGGGTTGAGTGTGAAGTCTTTTTTCCCATCCATGTGATCGTCATCATTCCAGATCACATCAAGTGGGATTTCAGCCTTCTTGTAATTCTCCACAACATCCTCAACCACTGAGAGATTGTGATATCCCCATCTGCATTGGTGGAATCCTATAATACCAAACAAGTGAAAAAATCAGTTAAACTACTTACAGAAAAAAGGTACTACTTACAGAAAAAAGGTACCACTTACAACTAGTTCTGGAACCCTTTATTTAATTGAGACATGAAATAGCATCAAGCCAATGTTATTAGTTAAAATATTTCTAGAAAGAACTTCCAAATAGATCTCGAACAGTGAGGATCAACCACCCCTTTCATTTAATTGACAAATGAAGTAGCATCATGTGAATGATATCAGTTACAACAGTCTCAGAAAAACTTCATGCAACATACTCACTTAGATCTGGAATCATACGAATCGAATGCTTACCCACCTTTTCGTTCAATTGACAAAAGAAGTAGATAACATCATGTGAATAAAGCATAGTTTAAAAAATGTCTGCCATTAAAAAAATATGAAAGCAAATTCCAGAGTTACAAGACAAAATCTTTTACGCTTTAATTTCACCTAATTCATTACACTTAATAAGCTCCTGTCTCTCTGCTCCACTCCTCTACCCATAGGACAAATATACATACAAACACTAAATTGTATACTTCCCTTAACCCAAAGATAATGTCATTCAATACATGTGAGCAATATCAAGCAGGTTAGTTAACAATGGGCATCTGGGATAAATTCAGGACCGGGTTAAAATTGAAGATGAAAAGTCCTTGCCTCAGTTTTCTTAGCAAAATTGTATTCCAACTGATCCATGAATTTTTCACCGTAACCATACAGCTATGGTAGTAATTGATCCGTTAATTCCATCTATCAAGAAACCTTATCTTTAAAAGGACAGGAAAATCTTTGCTAAGGTTAGTGCTATCGACCCATAATCCGATGCAGACATGAGTACGATCTTTCTCCCTAGATAAGTAAACAAAGTGATAGACCACGTGTATGCAATGATAGTCCTTGACAAGGACCCACATATTGCTTTGTAGAAGCATCTCACAAGGGTCTAATTCTTGACTCAAAAGTTTATCAGAAAAGATGAATTCTTTTATATGGTAAAGTTAAGTTAGCAACATTTATGTGGTACCTTATCTTTCCATGTGGACCTGAAAGGTATTAAATTACTCAACTACTAAAATTGGACGTACACAAGTTAGCCAGAACCCAATTCATAAAGAAAGTGACAAAAACTCAAAAATATCTATGCAGACCACACTTTAGAAAACAAATTAGAAAATCACCCATTATTCAATATAAAGATAAGCTAAAGCAGAAAACAGCTAATTGGAAAATCATACTCTCTGCATTATGCGAACTGACAAAATAATCTCAGAAGTGTGCATAAAAAAGTCACTGAAATCAAATAATCACAGATATGAAAGCTTAAGTTCTTTACATTTTTTTCAAGCCCAGGATATTGTACCATTAAGTATTTGGATCTGCCAATACCCAATTTCCTAATTAATAATTACTCAATCTACCTAAAAGGAGAATGTTAGATATTAAATATTAAATATTGATAGCACCCAAATGAATATCACTAATGTTATATATACATACATACATATATATATATATATATATATATATATATATATATATATATGTATATGTATATGTATGTATATACCAAGCACAATACGCAATGTAAGAAACAGAAGATGAGTCATACCAAAAGCCCAGTAAGGCATTGGAGCTGGTCTGCCAATTAAGGTAGTATACTGATCAACAACATTAAGAGGACTAGGCCCGGAAAAGAAATAAAAGTCGAAAACACCTCCAATAATCTTGTAAGTGAGAGAAGTTCCTGTGTAGAAAACATCCATTCCATTGCTATTGAGCAACAGAACAGCATGAGCAGAAGCCTTGCCACCTGTGTTTCTGAGATCCATGTACATAGGATGTGATCCATACAGATCAGCATTGAGATTAATGGCTGAAATGTCAGTGGTGTACAAGGTGTAGGGGTCACCAGGGTACAACTTGATTCCATGTGGCTGTGTGTTCTCTCCCAAACCATACAAAGACGCATCCTTAGGCAATTTGGTTGAAATCTCAAGGTACTGGTCCTTGAAAACAAGAGAACTAAAAGGGTCAGAATCACCAGAGGAGGTATCAAAAAGGGTCTCACCATTGGACTTCCTTTTCACGGCAAAGCTAAAAGGGTCTGAAGTGTAGCTAAACAGAAACTCAGAACTTGAATACTCAGAGACAGTTATAGGGTTCTTCCTGAACTTCCCAATGCTTTGAGTCAACGGTGGTGGTTGCTCCCTCGGCAAAAGGTCGTAGGGAACCTCCCACCTTTGCTTCTGTGCATCGGTAATGTGTACCCTTAAACGATTATCTGCCTCATGCCTGAAAAAAATAATGAACAATGTCAAAATTAGAAAAAAAAAAAAAAAAAAACTTTTTCTTTTATTGAAACACAAAAGGCATTATTTTTCCTCCATGATTGTCTTTCGTGATACAACCATACTAAATATAACATACTAGGAAAAAAAAGCTTTCTTCTTTTATTGAAACACAAAAAACATTACTTTTTTCCTCCATATTCATCTTCAAGATACTATCAGATACAAAGTATAAACATTTTTCTAGCAGAATCCATAATCTTATTCCACACACTTCCAAAACACATCTTTGGCAGAGATTTATAATTTAGGACTAATCTCTTTCTCTGAACTTAATTTTTAGGAAAAATGCAAAAGGGGACTTTCCAAAAAGAAAAAAGCAGAGGGATGTGCACAGTGGTAGTGGAAGCAGTGAGACTTACTTGACATAGAATCTAAGAAGGGGAATGTCCGGGCCATAGATATTGGTTTTGTGCTTAACTTGGAGGATTCCTACAAGGCCACCATTAGGGGTCTCTTCAATGGAGACAAGACGGTAACCTTGGCCAATTTTGGTGGCATTTTTGGGAGAAGTACTTGCTCCTGCTGAACACAGAAGCAGAGTAAGGAGAAGGGAAGAGAAAGATAGAGCAGCTAATTGGTTCGAAGAAACCATAGCTCACTATGGAGTAATGCAGTAGTGAGTGCTGCTACTGCTACTGTGAGGGTTGCAATGGTGTATAAATAACGAGCCAAGCTAGGTAGATGCTAATGTAGAGCAAATTACCCTCTTACCCATGTGTGGATTTTTAATATACTCGTGTTAATAGATATGAGTGTTACTATTGAGATCATAATATATAATTGGGTATCCGAAGTAGGAAACAGTGTTACTTCACTTCTTATCTGACATTGTGAACAAATAATGTAATATCCTCTTGTAAGCCTTTTAGTATTTTTATAAAAATGCTAAAAAATAATATTTGATATTTGAAAAAAATTAAAAAATATTTGATCATTCCTTTACTTAGTAGTAAAATTGCGTATAATTATTTATTCTCAGTTATGTTAGATTTTTTTTTATGAAAACATTTTACAAAAAATACATTTTATCTCTTGGAACTTACTTCTAAAAATAATTTAATCTAAGAGAGCATTAAAAAAATAAGAACATATTTTATAAATTTGAAAAAGATCATTAAATGTGATTAAATTCGGATAAAAAGAGAACTTTGTCATTATGTGAGTTTATCATTGAAGTCATATTAGCCTAAACCCTAAACCTATTCTTAATCTACTGTTGTAGCCTGTGCTTTGTTATAGGTAATTTACTTTTTGTTTGGTAGGAGACAAAAGAAAAATGAATTTACCATTCAAGTAATTTTGGTAGAGTAGATTTAAATAGAAAGTGATCAAATTGAAATAGAGTTTTATTAAAACTCGAATATATTGTTATAACATTAGCATTGAATTAATATTAAATGTTATGAAATTTTTTTACCATAGTGAGGCAGAAGATACGATGGAAATGTTACCCGCGAAAAAGCAACGTGGAAGAGGGAGGGAGTTATCGGATGCATGTGAAGGTGTTCGGGAATCGAGGCAATTTCTCATGGTGTGTGGGCCAGCGCGGCCCACCACCATGATTTGTTTGTTTCTCTTTGTGGACCCATCTTCAGTTTGCGTCTCACATTTTTCTCACGCTTGCTTCAGCCATTTCAGGGCATCTTTTGCGTATTATGTGCGCGACTGCACGGGATCACCACCTCCAATAACATATAATATTAAATGCATGTTAATTATCCTTTCATAACTGTTTCTAGGAATTTTAACATCGACATAGGTTTTTTAATTCGTCAATTGAGAAGAAACAAAAAAAAAAAAATTAATCTTTTCAATATCTTTAAGTTTTTTATATTAAGATGGATGTATAAAAATATAAATTATTTTTAGGCTAATATTCTGAGAATCACTTTATTATTTGTAGTATATTAGATATCATAAGAAATTAAAAAATATATGTTTTATAGAATAAAATTAATTTATGCATAAATAAATTATAAATCATTGTTTTAAATTGTAAGAAAATTGAATTCAATTTTTTTCACTACAAATTAATCCGAATAAAACGCTAGAAAGAAGAATCGTCAAAGATAGAGAGTAAGAAAATGACAATCGGTTCCACATTGGGGAGTGAACATAATATATATATATATATATATATATATATATATATATATATATATATATATATAGATATAGATATAGATATATATATATATAGAGAGAGAGAGGGGTAAACAATTTGTACATATTTTTTTAAATATACCATGTAAACTTTATTAAATAAAATTGAAATCATTAAATTATATTAATGACAACATAGGTGTTGTTACAATTTTTTATAATGAATATGTTCTGATACATCGTTTAGAGTCTATATTATTTTTAATTTTATTTTATTTATTTTATTTTATTTTAATTATTATTTATCATATTTTTTAATATATATATATATATATATATATATATATATATATATATATATATATGAATATAATTTGCATCTGACTAAACATGGATATAAATGAGTTAGATATTTTGTAATTTTTAAAATATATTATAAAATTAAAATAAAAAATGATAATTTTTTTCTTTATTAACTAACGAATATAATACTTTGTTGATATATAAAAGGAGTGATAGTGGTGATTTAGTTAATTATTATAAAATTATGTCTGTATTGTATATTTACATTGATTTTTATTACTCCATTTTTATTAAATTTAAAATAGAAGATGAACACATTTCTTTCATCGATTCTAAAAACAGTATTAATAATATAGAAAGAAGCATATTAAATTGTGTGTGATAAAATAGTGATTAAAGATTAGACGTAAACTTGACGCAGTTTGTTTGAGGAATATAAAGGTGAAAAGAAGCGTGATTCTCGGCAGGATCCAATCTTAGGCTAAAGTCCAGGTAGATCTTCGATGGATGCTTCTTTTCTCTATCCGTACACACTCTCACTCATCTTCGTCTCTTCTTCCTGTGGATGTATATATTATAAATGTTTTACACAATTTTCATCTTAATAATTATTATTTTTTTCCACTTTTATTATAAATATATTTTTTAAACCAATGGTAAAAAATGTATCACTACATAATTTGTATTTTTGGAGACTATTTCCGTTTCAGAGTCTTAAAACTGTTCTTTCCAAAAATGTGATTATGTAAATTTTAGAACCAATGATTTAGGTGTTGTTCACTGTATGTCTTGGAAAATTATGATCAGATAACAACATTTATGTTAACCTTAAAAAGTTAGATTTAATTATTTATTGATTTTATTTTTAATATCTTCAGTGATCAAAGGTTGGTCTTTAATTTCAAAAATAAAACAATCAGATCCTTAAAACAATCAAATATATTTTTAAAGATAATAGATCTTTCAATCGTTACTTTATATATTTTTATTAATATAATTTAAATTTTTAAATATTTTGTATATATATATATATTTTAATATTTTTAATTAATTATTTTGATTCACATATGTTAATAATTTTATTTTTTAATTTCAACAAAATAATATATTCTCCTCTTTATAATTATCATTGCTGTCAAAAATTAGTTTGGACTTACGGACTCAACCAATTGAATCAGAAATTGTTACACGGTACAAAAATTAGATCGGACTTACGGATTCAACCAACTTAATATAATGATTTATAATATTTTAAAATAAAGTATTTTAAAAAAATTATATATTATTTTTAAATAATATTATTTTATTACTATGCTTAAAAAATTAAATAACAATATTTTATTAAAACTAATTCGACTCATGTCTTTAATTGTCAGGTTTTGTTTCAGATAGATGATAATTATGACTATCATGTTACGACGATGTGAGTGTTATCTTTGACCATGGTTTTTCCATTTGCATTTAATTAATTTGATTCGTTTCATTTCAAATGCTGGATCTGGTTGCTTTACTTTTGGATCTCCTGCTTCTCATTCTGACACAGTCACACTCTTCTTTCATTTTTATAATAACTTTAATTCTTGTTCAATTTTAAAATTAATATCTGAACTCATGCAGTAATACAGTATTAAAATGGTGTGTGTATTCATTGCTATTATTGAAATGGATTTGTTTCTTGTTGTTTGTAGTTAGTTTTTAAGGAAAGAGGTTAAAATTTTACAATGAGAATGATTTTTGCATTACTAATTAATTTTAAATTTAGAAAAAAAAAGTATACTTTACAAATGTCACAAATGGTTTAATATACATGTTAGTATATTAATGCACTCTATGTAATTTCTAACATATCTCCATTGTAATTTCTAAAATTTTATTTTCTGTACAGTTAATTTCTTAAGCAATGCACTTATTAAAAATATGATATTTACAATTATAATAAAAGAATAATAATATTATCACTTCTTTAATATAAATATTAAAGTTGAAATAGCGACCAAAAAAAGTGAAGAAGTTTTAGCTTTATGAAATAATAATAATAATAATAATAATAATAATATATTGATATATTTTTTCTGTAAATAATTTTTGGCATCATTTATTGCTGCAGTGTCCATCGTAATAATCGAGATTTAATATGATTTTAAATAGGTTGGAAATTTGGTGCGTTCAACAACATTTAAATTAATTCCAGGTCCCAATGTGAGGTAGAATTTTATTTGTGTATTATGTATATTTTTTGAATTTGGTATTTAATAAATTATAAAAAAAATTGAATTTCTGATAAATATTTATTTGTATTTTATCTATGTTCATTTTTTATCGTTAAGCCAACTAGCTAGACTTATAGCCGAAGCATCTGGGCCTCGAACTGCAGAAGTAAACTGGGCCTCATGGGTTGTATCATACAACTTCAAAAACTTGCTTAAACGATTTTTTTTTTAAATTAAACTAATAATGTCAATATGCATATTTCGTGTTGTAATATTCAATTAATTGTTGTGACCTGATATAATTAAAATAAATTCTATTTTACTTTTCTTTAAAACGTTCGTTACACAATAATATACCCAGGATGGTAAATATAATTAAAATAAATATATTTATATTTCTTTATTAATTATTGTAACTGTTATAAATCTTAATCTAAATACATAGTTCTCCCATAAAGAAAATAAAATAAAATAAAGAGATGTAATGTTATTATAACATAAAAACACATAAAATTTGTAAAAAGATAATTTTTTTCTAACTTAACTTATTACAAATAAAAACTTATTACGTACAAAATCATATAGTCAAAAGTAAAAACATGATCATAATTATAACAACACGTCGATCATACAAAGAAAGTTAATATTAAAAAAACAACCATAACAACATATTTTCTGTTTAATATTAAAATATACTCCCATTGTATCTAATATATTCGGATGTTAGTGAAAAATCGATACAAAAATCAAAAAACGGAACAGAGAAAATCGAAGATCATATGATTGGTTAAAAAGTTGATAAATCGGAAAGATGGTTGGAAGACATTCGATGACCACGACACAGTGTGAACACATAAATCGAGAATCAGAAGATAGAGAAAATTCGATGAAAGTAAGAAATCGATGATAAAGTATGGAGTGTAAAGTCAAGGTTAAGGGAAATCATATTCGACAACTGGAATCGAGATCGAGGGAA